GGGGTTGGGGAGATATATGAGGATGTGTTGTGAGGGTGTGTCAAGAAAATGAGTAGTGACAGAGAAACCGCTTACAGGTTTTTTCAGACAAAGAAAATGGATGGGTGATGGATGGCAGGACGTCAGCGATGCAGCAGCATCAAGCAACTGGCAAGAGGAGAAGATATCCATACCAAAGGTAACGCCATAGGATGCCCACACATATGGATAGTCCTCGCAGTGCTGACGCATCGCCGCAACTGCTGATGTGGCACGATCCAGCAGCGATGATGTGGACGAGTCTGACGTGGACGAACCTCCTGTTGTGGCCTCATCTGGCGATGGTTGCTCCTTTGCCATTACAAGGCGACCTAAGGACCCCTCTTCCTCCCTTCCTGCTTCACTCTTGAACCACTGGCTGATGATTCCTGTTGTTTGCTGCCCGTCGATCTGCCCTAGATGTGCTCCTGCCTCCTACAGCAGCAACAGGAAACTGAAACGGAGTGGCGAACGGCGTAGGAGAGCAAACGCACTGGGCTGAATCACGCGGACCCTCGAAGAGCAATTTGTTTTTGAAAACATTACATAATGACCTGCAGCGAGACAGCGGTCAGGAGTCCATGGGTTTAGAAGGGAGGAGAGGGGACAGCTTGCAGCACACATGGGACAAAGGAAGGGAGGGAGATAGCTTGAGCAGAGAACATCAGAGGGAAGGAGAGAAGGCGTGAGGGAGTGGGGAATGACGGGGAGTGGGGAATGACGGGTGTGGGGGGGGGAGGGGGTTGGGGAAGTGAGAGAAGGGGGGTGTGGTGGAAACGGAGGAGAGGGAGGGGAGAGCGGGGGGAGATGGGGGAGGGGGTTTGGGGAATAAGAAGATGGCCTGAGAGAGAGCGAGAGGGGACACAATGGGCAAACGGAATGCGGGGGAGAAGGGATTATGAAGCTCGAGCGATATGGGGAAGGAAGAACCGAGGCGGCGAAGAATCGTTCCGACATACGAAGGGGTCAGCAATCGGGAGGAGCGGGCAGAAAACCGCAGCGCAGAAAGAGGTGAAGGGGATTGCTGGGGGGGCGGGCCGACGGCGTGAGTGGCAGGGGGAGGGAGTCGAAAGCGTGGGCAAGAGGGGTGATGGGTGTGGTACGGAGAGTGCAGATCGAGGGAAGAGCGGAGCAGGCACTGTCGGGTTGGAGCGACATGGGCGCGGATGGGAGAGTGGGGATGAGGCGTCCATGCGGTGAGAAGTGTGAGAAGTGCAGGGTGAGCGCGAGCGCCGTGGGGAGCAAGGTGAAGGGCGAGAGGCCAAGGCTTGCGTACTAGCGACGTGGATTCGCACCTGCTGCGACTGGTGAAAGAGGAGCGCCGATGATGCGATGCACGCGATCGATGCGACGAAAGCACAGACGGTTCTTGAGACACCGATCGCACACAGGGATCCCGATTCGTCTGATATCGCGGGCTAGTCTAGTCTCAACCAAAACAGCCTAATGTTATTTCAGCGTCGTTAGGCTAAGTTCACAGGAAGACGAGGTTAAAGTTTGTCAGCGAGGAGGTGTTCAGATCCGAGAAAACACGGTACTAAGACCGCAAAGGAGAAATTTTGGGCAAGTTGACCGAACAAAAATTGCAACTGGAGAGTGGGGATGAGGCGTCCATGCGGTGAGAAGTGCAGGGTGAGCGCGAGCGCCGTGTGGGGAGCAAGGTGAAGGGCGAGGCGAAGGCCAGGCTTGCGTACTAGCGACGTGGATTCGCACCTGCTGCGACTGGTGAAAGAGGAGCGCCGATGATGCGATGCACGCGATCGATGCGACGAAAGCACAGACGGTTCTTGAGACACCGATCGCACACAGGGATCCCGATTCGTCTGATATCGCGGGCTAGTCTAGTCTCAACCAAAACAGCCTAATTTTTTCAGCGTCGTTAGGCTAAGTTCACAGGAAGACGAGGTTAAGTATGTCAGCGAGGAGGTGTTCAGATCCGAGAAAACACGGTACTAAGACCGCAAAGGAGAAATTGGGGCGAACAAAAATTGCAACTGAGTGAGCTTTCGAGGCCTGTGGTTTTGAGAGCGTAGCGGCGAACTGGTGTCGTAGACCGGTCAACCAAACACGCCCTAAAACTAGTGCGGGAAACTGGTCCCAAACCGATCATCCATCTCGGTTGGGCGACATATGTGAATTCGCCTCGAAAGTCTATGCGACCGCAGCCCAACATACACAACTCACCTCGCGTGTGGCTTAGTACGTGGCGATTAAAGTGGCGCTATCGTCGCAGCATTTTGCGCCAGACTGCTTCGAACAGCGCGCAGGCACTCGTTTTAGGGTTTGTCTTCGTTGTGCCCCGCGCGCTCTTTCCCTCGCTGCTGCGGTAACCGCTTCGCTAGGATGTCGCACATTCCGAGTCACGTGTTCACAGGTCCGTCGCTTCCGAGCCACCTTCGCAAGGTTCGTTCTTGGACGGAATGGACCAGCCATCCAAGCTCGACAAGTCCTAGCGCACCGTCCTCAATCATCCTATCGGTACTGCGCGCCGAGCCATCTCATGCCACGGGTCCGTCACGTGCAGTGCAACGGAAACGACCAGCCACGCAAGTTCGAAAATAGTTTCCCGCGAGTATCCCGCGCGTATCCATATCAAACTTTCGTCCGCGTATCGGCCCCCGAATACTCATTCCGCCGCTTCCTTCCGCTCATACATTCATCTTGCCTCTTGCTTACTGCATGGTTCCGCTGGGGACTGGGGGATCTTTGGGAGAGGAGGGGTGGGGAGGGGAGGGGAGGGGGAGGGGAGGAGGGAGGGGAGGGTAAGGGGAGGGGAGGTGAAAGGAGGGGGACGCTAGGGGAGGGAGGGGAGGGAGGGGAGGAGAGCAGAGGGGAACGGAGGGAGGGGAGCGGAGGGTAGCAGAGGGGATGAGGGTGGGGGAGTAGAGGGGAGCAGAGGGGAGGGGAGCAGAGGGGAGCGGGGGGGAGCGGAGGGAGCAGAGGGGAGCGGGGGGGAGCGGAGGGGAGCAGAGGGGAGCGGGGGGGAGCGGAGGGGAGCAGAGGGGAGCGGGGGGGAGCGGAGGGGAGCAGAGGGGGAACGGGAGGGGAGGGGAGCAGAGGGGAGGGGGAGGTAGGGAGGGAGCGGAGGGGAGGGGAGGGACACAGGGCTGGCGGCCGGTGGTTGATAGCATATCACCTCCTTTCTGCCTCCTTCCCCTCCCTTCCCCCCCTTCCCCCTCTCTGTTCCACCACGGGTGCATGTTGGTGTGACCCTGCTGCTCGCAGGACTCCCGACTCTTGACCCCTGGCCCTTGACCCCTGGCCCTTGACCCCTGGCCCTTGACCCCTGGCTCTTGACAGACACGCTCTCTGCACGGGGACTAGTCAGGTATTTGCTACCAAGTTAACCTCACCCGTCCCCATCCTCTGCACCCTCCACCATTTCCAGGCTGCCGTTTGTGTGCCAATGAGCTCGCGACAGCTGTCTCGGAGGTTCTTTCTGAGGTCGTTGTTGCGTGCACGTTGTGGCTTGCTTGCCATCCCGTTGCACTAGTGCACCGGTGCGCCGGTGAACATTCCACTGCATGCCTCTCCGCTCGACTGCACCTCCGGATGTGATGTATAGTCAAGTGTTGAGTCGTAATATATTTTGGCTCACCTTTACACACCAATTCACTCTTGCTCATTGTGTCTGAGCATGGTGTTACGTGTCTGAGTAGGTGGTGCCATGCATGGCATGTCACATACCGTGATGCATTCCCATGAAGCCTGCAACTGTATCCCCCCAAGTGCTCACTCACCGACACAATTCTCTCGCAGTTACTCGCATGGCGCCATCACACGAGGTTACTACAGCCCCTGAGTTCTCGTTGAAGTCCCATTGTTTCTTGCTCAACTTCATTTCTGCCTGCCTGCTTTCCTGCCTGCCTAGCACCATCTGGTGGCATGCGTGCCTGACTGCCTTGTCCCATGCATTTGCACACCAGCATCAGGGTCATCTACTTCCTCCCAGCACTGCTCTCCAACCTTTCACCTGCCCACTTCTCGTTCAGTTCTTCCTCCTCTTCTTTCACGTGCTGTTGTCTATCTGCTTCGCCAACCTCACTTCATTCTCACATTCGTCTGAGAATGCTTTCGGCTTTCAACCTCCCTGTTTCTTTCAGTCAAAGGTGCAGCATGGTGCGCAGCCTTGCTCGAATTTGTCTGTTTGAAAACCTCAAACCTGAAAGAAAGAGGGCAGGTGAACCGAGACGACTTTTGAGGCGCCTAAGAAGGTGCATCATGGTACATCACATTGCACAACCTTACTCAAGTCTCCTGGAAAGGTGTGTGTAGCTTTTGCTTTGGCCGGTTTCCTTGTTCTTGGTGCTCATTTAATAAGTGGCAGTTTCAAAAAATGTGACTGCAGGTTGTGTGAGTGAAAGGAGTGTGATGCAGGAAAGATGCATGGTCCCGTGAGATGGAGAGCAGAGAGACGGAAGAAAAAGAGGACAGAGCGGAAATGCGAGAGGGAGCAGGAGACTGGAACATGGACGGTGGAGCAGCAGAGGAAATTAAAGGAAAATCTTACTGCATGGATGGGTGGATGGAAGCAGGGCCCACAATATCAGGGCAAAACATCCTGATCACCCTGCTTTCAGGATGTGTTTCAAGTTTTCCCTGGAATTTCAGAATGGCGCTGAAATTTACCCTGGGACGTCAGGATGATTCATGTGTTTTGCCCTGAAATTTCAGAATGGCAGTGAAATTTTGCCCTGAAGCGATAGGGTGAATGTAGGGGGATGCCCTGACTCGTGGGAAGGGGAGAAGGGGTGGAGAGGGGAGAGGCTGTGAGCAACACAACAGGGACAGAGGCCATGTGATGGCTGCAGCTCAACTGGTGGTAGTTGCTGGGTGTTGTTGGCTCAGGGACAGCAGGCATGATATGGAAAGCTGATTTTGGCATTATAAAATAGGACAACCTACCGTACATATATTTTTGTATGATATGCTATACAAGGAGGTGGAGGAAGCTTACACTCTAGGCAATTAGCCAGCAACACCTACATAAAGGCTATAGCCATTCCTAAAACAGTAAGTGTGGACCATAACATGGTCGGTTGAATGTGCCGGCCCGAAGACTCGTCTGTAATATACACGCATTAAAATGCGGAACATGTTGAAAAGGAAAGGTAAACAAAAGCAAGGAACAACTAAGGGTAACACATGCACTGAATGTCTTTCTGGGTGTAGACGTTGTGGAAAGGAGGCAAGGAACAATCCGGACAAGCGCCACAAGCGCCTCAAGCGCCATACATGTTGCACACGTCATAAATGTGACAATTAGTTTCAGTGCAAATTGTGCCGCTGGTGCGTGGTGAGTGAACAATAGCTGTCGACGAGAGAGTTGACCTTTGAGTCGACTCAAAAGTCACCTAGTGCATGGTGAGTGATCGGATCGCACGTACCATAGTTGTCGTCAGGTGGGTTCTCAAAGATTTTTGAGGCGCCTCAGAAATCGTCTCATGCCTAGTGCATGCATGGTGAGTGATCAGATCATACGTACCATAGCTGTCATCGGGTGGATTCTCAAAGATGGCGGGGGAGGAGCGGATGATGGCACTCGTGGTGGTGTTGATGAGCTGCCCTGAGGTGCCTGTGACGAGTGGGAGTGAGGGGAGATGGGGAATTTGATTTTGGTGAATGCATGTGCGGAGAAGAGGAGCAAGGCCAATAGTGAGCTAAATGTTGGGTGAAGAGCGAGGAGGGTGAATTGCAACGACGAGGGTGAATTGCAACGACGAGGGTGAATTGCAACGACGAGGGTGAATTGCAACGACAAGGATGAGTTGCAAGTGGGTGGTGAGGGATGGCGAGCACATACAATTCATGGGCACGAATCCAATTGTGTTTGTCTCGTGGTCGAAAAGAACGTCGTTGTTGCGAAGCCACGACCCTGCCAGCAGGTTTCCCGTAGGAAGGCGGTCATTCAGGCACAACATTGAAGGACGAGAACCCGATGCACTGATGCATAATGACGACGACTGAACAAGGTTTGGAGAACGCGACAAAAAAGGCAAATGAACAGTAGAAACGCGCAGTACAGTGCACAAAACAGCCCGCATGCATCACGAATCCCTCACCTCCTATGTACGTGGTGTTGGATTGCCGGTATCCTATGGCTGCAATGCACAGCAGTGTGTCGTTCTGCATGTGGGCGGTGGGGCAACACAGATGGCATGAGAACACACATGTGTTGAGACACATACGTAGACGTTTGCTCTAGTGCTCCTTATGAATGCTCGTAGGCACACACACACATGGCATCCACATGGCGTCAGGCGCGCGCGCGCGCGCACACACACACACACACACACGGAGTAAAGCCCACATACATAACTTGTAAGAACACGATTTGTGAAGCTATGACGAACACTTCTCGTGTAGACGGGTAGATGAGAAAGCGCACCTTGTGGAAGAGGGTAGATGAGAAAGCGCACCTTGTGGAAAAGGGTAGATGAGAAAGCGCACCTTGTGGAAGAGGGTGGATGAGAAAGCGCACCTTGTGGAAGAGGTAGTTGTAGGCAGGCACGGCCCAGAGCAGATTGGCTGAGAAGTCAAGCAGCAGAGGCGGGTAGGTGGACGCCAGCTCCGCACTGGTCCTGGTGGTGGCAGGGCAGGGGGGTTGGGCAGGGGGGATGAGCAGGGGGGGGAAGGGGGGGTGGGGGATGAGCAGGGGGAGGGCATGGCGGATGAGCAGGGGGAGGACATGGGGAATGAGGGAAGCACAGGGGGGACGAGAAAGGGGGATGAGAAGGGGGGATGAGATGGGGGGATGAGCAGGGGATGCTAAGGGAGCTGGCATGGGGGATGAGAAGGGGGGAAGAGGAGTGATGAGCAGCAGGGAAGAGCAAGTGGAAGCGGCAAGGGGCATGAGGAGGTCAAGGCGATGGTGAACGCTTGAAAAAGTTGTGTTGAGTGATGATGAATCTCATGGTACTGCTGCGCTGCACTGGAGGATGGCAGTGAGTGAGCAGCCTGCATGGCTTGTGATCATGAGATGCCATTGCCAGGCCAGTGACTCTGACTCGTGAAGGGAGGGAGTGAGAGTGGCCTGGCTGGCTCTACTCACATGCGTTTGGGCGTGTGCAGGCAGCGGAAGAACCCCGACCAGATCATTGACTGGTTCACCACTTGCTCCAACTGCATGGCCGTGGATGAGTGTGGATGGGTGTGGATGAGTGTGGATGGGTGTGGATGGGCGTGGATGGGTGTGGATGCGTGTGGATGGGTGTGGATCGGTGTGGATGGGTGTGGATGAGTGCGGATGCGTGTGGAGGGAGAGGGGTACGAGCAGGTTGTGGGAGGGGTTGTGCAAAAAACAAAAAAAGAAGAAGAAAAAAACAAGGTGACGCAATAACAGGAGAGAAAACGGAAGGATGACTGGCTTTCGGAAAGAAGAATGAGAAAAAAACACAGAGAAAGGAAAAATTTAGTGCGCATGAACGAGATGAAACGTGAATGCATGCATGCTTAGAGATTGGCAGCACGACGAACACAGGAGCAGAGCAGCGGGAGACTGACAGCGGAGGTGAGAGCAGTGAAGATGGGCGCAGGCAGGGCTGTGAAAGTCGACCCACTGTCAATCACCGCTCCCCCCGACACCGCCCCTGTCGGCAGCGACCCCCCCTGCCGTCCCCCCAGTCGCATCGCCCTCACCATCCCCCCCGCCACTGTCTCCCCCGACCCCACCACCTCCCCCCGGGTCCGCAGTCCCCCCATCGCCCCCCAGGAAGGAGGAGTCAGAGGCAGGCGTGGAGAGGCCGTGTGGGGGCGGGGCAACGGTGATGGCCGTGGTGCCGTTGGGCAGGGGAATGGGCGAATGGGCGAGGTAGAGGGCGAGCAGGGGCAGGCGGTATACCGTGCTGGGTGGGGGGGGGGAGGGGCGGGGATAAAGGGGGCGGGGAGTGAGACGGGCCGTGGTGCCGTTGGGCAGGGGGATGGGCGAGGTAGAGTGCGAGCAGTGGCAGGCAGGCGGTACACAGTGCTGGGTGGGGGGAAGGGGCGTGGGGAGAGGGAAATGGGAGGGAGGAGGACAGGGAGGAAGAGTTGAATGGGAATGAGAAGTGTCTTCGTGACGTTAGGCAGGGGGGTAGGCGACCGGTGGACGTGCAGGGTGGGCAGGGGCAGGCGGTGTACTGTGCTGGGGTGTGGGGGAGGGGCAGGAGGACAGGGGGGGCGAGATGCAGAGATGGAGAGGAGCAGGAGGAGCTGCTATCCTGAGTGGCAACCCTCGCCTGCACAAATCATTACAGGGGGCGAGGGGGGCAGGGGCAGTGCCGTTGCAAGGCTTGTATCCCGGGTGCAATGCACCCACCAACCATCAAACAGCAAACATCATAGATCTCTAGCAACAACAGGCGAACCCCGTCCTGTCCAAAGCAGCAACCCTAGCCCTAACCGGTCATTGAAACAGGCCAGGGGTGCAGTGACAGTGGCGTTGCTATGCTTGCCTCCCTTCTCACAAGAATCATAAAACGCCTCACAGGTCAGCGGAGGGTGCGAGGGGAGCAGTGACGGTGGCGTTAGTAACAGGCAGGCGCCGCCTCCCCAGCACGAGGTGCCCCCCGCGCTGCCGGCCCTCGAGGCAGAGCGAGAAGGACTCGTGCAGCACGCCCTGCGCCGCCAGCTGCGTTACCACTGACAGGGGCCCGCGGCCCAGCCCCATGACCCCGCTGAGGGACGCCGTGGAGGAGGGCGAGGCGAGGCGGCCCGTCTGGTGCACTCCGCAGCTGAAGGGAGGGGGGAAGGGGGACGGTGCGCATGGGAGAAGCGTGACTCGCATGGAATGGCACTTCCACTGACAGGGGCCCGCGGCCCAGCCCCATTACCCCGCTGAGGGACGCCGTGGAGGAGGGTGAGGCGAGGCAGCCCGTCTGGTGCACTCCGCAGCTAAAGTGGCCCCGAGAAGGGACGGGTGGGGGGGAGGGAGGGGGGGAGGGAGGGGGGGAGGGGCGGAGAAGGGAGCAAGAGTGGAGAGGGGCGGAAAGGGGAGGAGAGGAGACGGGAGGGGCGGAGAAGGGGGGGGGGGGGGAGCGGGAAGGGAGGGAGAAGGGAGGTGGGGACATGGGGGGAGTGGGTAGGGGCGGATAAGGGATGGGGGGAGTAGGAAGGGGTGGAGGGGGGAGGGGAGGATTGGGGAGGGGCGGAGAGGGGAGGGCGGGAGCAGGGAGGGGTGAGGCAAGAATGCGAATGCACACGCAATACACAACTAGCAAAGAAGTGAAGCGCGGCACGAAACAAGAGCACGCCATACTCCAGGGGGGTTCATGCCCAGCAACACACACAGCAACAAGGGGGGTTCAGCAGCTCCCCATTGCATGGCGTGTTACCGAAGGCGATGGTGGCGTTGGCGGATTTCCGGGAGGTGGAGAGCAGTGCGAGGGAGTCAAAGAGGAGGTCCCCCGCCGTGGTGCTGCCATCTCCATACTCCAACATGTACTGGCAGCGCCTGCTCGTGCGCACGCCGCCCACCTAATAAAAGGGCAGGATCGAACGGGGGTGAGACGAGGGGAGGAGGAAGGGAGCGAGGGACAATGAAATGGAATGATGAGGACTAAGCCGTTTTCCAGTCCAGCACGTACTGGCTGGCACCACCGACTTGTGCGCTACGCAGCGCACGCCGCCCACCTGATGAGCGGACAGGAGAGAGGGGACGAGGATGGAGAAGAGGTTGAGAACGTGTGGCGACCTCTCACAGGGCCTCTCCAGGGCGTGCAGCGCACACACATCATAAAAAATGTTCTTGAGACGTCTCAAAAACACACAAGTTCTTTCTAACCCTCTCGTCCCGCTCTTCCTCCGCCCCTCTCCCCCTTCCCCTCGCCCCTTCTCCCCTCTCTCCCTTCTCTACCATCTCTCCCCTCTTTCCCCCTTCTCCCCAAAACCCCATCTCTCCCCTTTTTCCCTCCTCCCGTCCCACCCTCCCCGCCCTCTCCCTCTCCCCTTTTCCCTCCCTCTCCCTCCCTCCCTCGCTCCCTTCCGCTCTCCCACGCACCTGGCAGCCCACGGGCATCTCGAGGGCGTATTGCTGGGTGAGCGCAGTGCAGGGGGCGTTGGTGCAAGCACCAGAGCCGAGGCTGCTAGAGTTACCCGCCCAGTACACCAGCTGCTCGCCCTCCCCATCCCCATACCCCTCTTTCCCACGCACCTGGCAGCCCACAGGCATCTCCAGCGCGTATTGCTGCGTGAGCGCAGTGCAGGGGGCGTCGGTGCACTTGCCGCTATCCAGGGTGCTGGAGTTGCTCGCCCAGTACACCAGCTGCTCGCCCTGCAGCTGCTGCACCTTGCTCGCCACCTCCACTGTCGGGGCTGCTGCCGGCGCTGCTGCTGCCTCGGATTCTGCTGATGGTGATGGTGCCGTGTCCATTGTAGTTGTTGCTGCTCGTGCTTTGATTGGCAATGATGATGGCGATGATGGTGATGATGGTGATGATGGCGACGATGGCGATGATGGCGATGATGGCAATGATGAGTCCACTGTGGCTGACTGCATCGATCCCACCCCCCCACCTGCATCTCCCACAGCGGCAAGGCTGTACCGGTGCTGCCCTGCGTGTGACTCAGAAGGCACGGGCCACTCACTGGAGCCCTCTGTTCGGCCCCGCATGAGCCACCTTAGAGGCACTGCCAGCTGCCCAGCGCCATCGTCCCACTCCCCCTCCTCTCTGCCCATCTCCGCTGCCCCACCTCCCCCTGCATATGCACCCCTGTTCCCCGCACTCCCAGCCCCTGCTGCAGTAACCACCCGCCTTGATTCTCCCTCTCCTTGTGCTTGTGCCTGTGCCTGTGCCTGTGCCTGTGTGTGAGACGCCTCGCCATGCGCATGTGACCGAAACGAGGGTGGGCGTGGTGAGCCATCAACCTCCAGAGCCATCTGCGCCCCAGAAACCAAACCTTGCCCCGGACCTGCCTCTGAATCCGCACCTGCATCTGTGGCCGCTACTGCATGTGCATCTGCACGTGCATGGGCATCAGCAGCAGCAGCAGGCGCTTCTGTTGCCATGTTGGTGGCGCGGTTGAGAGATGCGGATCGGGGTGGGTCCACCGGTGGGGGCGAGGGGGGCGTGGAGGGGAAGGGGGCCGACGGTGGAGTCGGGAAAGAGGCGCTGGGAGATTGGTGTCCGCCTGCAGGCTGCTGCTTGGGGAGGGAGGGGGGGGGGGGAGAGGGAGGGGGTTCGCGTGAGATGTGTTAGAATATCTCCTCTCTTGTAACCTGCATATATGCTATAGGATAGGCTAGAGATAAGCACCCAAACTTAGTTTGGGTGTACAAGCAGGGGTTACCCAATTTGTAGGTTGGAAACCCAACCTTGGTCCAATTATTGGACCCCAAGGGTTGGGATGGGTAGAATTATTGGTCCCCTCCAATAATGTTGGCCCAACTCCAACTTGGCCAACATTATTGGACCCCACCAATAATCTCCCAACCCAACTCCTTGGTTGGGGTCCAATAATGTTCACCTAGGCTAGTTTCCAACTCATCTCCTATGTAAACCCCCCATCCTTTCAATCAATCCATCAACTTCTCTTCTACCTTTTCTTCTCACATGGTATAGAGCTCTTAAAAATCCTAGGCCTACGCTCCTAGTTTTTTTTCAAAGGCCGCCGCAACCCCCGGCCTCCTCTCTCATTTCTCCGCGGCTATCTCGCCACCCTCCCCCTCTCCTCAAGCACTCCCTTCCTCGCAGCCCCACGGCCTCCCACGCCATCACGGCTCGCGGCCCCACCGCCGCTTCCGCGCTCGCCTTGTCGCGGTCCCGCCGACCGCCACCGCCCGCCCCATCCCGCGGCCTCGACGCCGCCTCCGCGCCAACGCCACTGCGGCCGCCGTCGCCGCCGCCGCTCCCTTCCGCGGCCTCGACGCCGCCTCCGCGCCTGCACTGCCGCGGCTTCGCCAGCCGCCGCCGCTCGCGCCGCTCCCTCCCGCGACCCCGTCGTCACTTCCGCGCCAGCACTCCCGCGGCTTCGCCAGCCGCCGCCGCTCGCGCCGCTCCCTCCCGCGGCCTTGTCGCCGCTTCCGCGCCTGCACTGCCGCGGCCTCGCCAGCGCCGCAGCTCGCGCCGCTCCCTCTCGCGGCCTCGTCGCCGCCTCCGCGCCTGCACTGCCGCGGCTTCGCCAGCCGCCGCCGCTCGCGCCGCTCCCTCCCGCGACCCCGTCGCCGCTTCCGCGCCGGCACTGCCGCGGCTTCGCCAACCGCCGCCGCCCGCGCCTCTCCGCGGCCTCGTCGCCGCCTCCGCGCCAGCCGCCGCGGCCTCGCCAACTGCCGCCCGCGCCTCTCCGCGGCCTCGTCGCCGCCTCCGCGCCAGCCGCCGCGGCCTCGCCAGCCGCCGCCCGCGCCTCTCCGCGGCCTCGTCGCCGCCTCCGCGCCAGCCGCCGCGGCCTCGCCAGCCGCCGCCCGCGCCTCTCCGCGGCCTCGTCGCCGCCTCCGCGCCAGCCGCCGCGGCCTCGCCAGCCGCCGCCCGCGCCTTCCCCTCCAGCGGCCTCGACGCCGCCTCCCCGCC